ATTCACTAGCTTCCCAGAAAAATCAGCATACCTGGATAACACATCATTATATTCACTACATAACATTCATATTCTCTAGCCATGAAAAAAAGAAAGCAATCATCTGCAAAAAGAAGGTGGACACTTGGGTGCATTTCTAGCAATTTTCACGCCATACAAAGCGCCATTTTCCTCCTTCTGTCTAATTAGTGTTCAACCCTTCTGCAATAATAATAAATACATAAGGTGAAATCGGATGTCCTTGCCGAAGACCCTACCATTAGTTGTGACGTAAAATAAATATTGCATCTTTCCACACTCTAAATCCAGAACATAGAACCATTGAATGAAGTGAAGTGACCTAAAAAGTTGTTCATGACCCTAAAGGATAAGATACACCAACATAATGAGTTAGTGGAATGCTTTCATACTACAAGGAGGCATTCTTTTTTGTATTGTGAAATTGAGATATATAATAACTAAATTGTCACAATAAAAACCATTTATATATGTTGTACCTAGTATATAAGAATTAAAATTTTATTCCAACATTAATTTTCTAACATGCATAATAATCTTTGGTGGAAAACTAATTAATGAGTGCGAAATTATAGATACATATACATATATTTTATTTTGATGGATAATCAGCACTTAACAAATACTACGTATAAATTTCTAATTGGTCAAAGTTTGATATTCCTCATCATAATTCATACCAAATAACACTACTGGCCACACTATTTCGATATTCAAAACGAATATATATTTGTTAGTTCTCTCTTAATCTATTACGACGATCAATAAATCCTTTGTTGTCCCAACCACTACTCTGATCACTACAAAAAAATCGCATATAGTCACGGATTTAGTCACGGACCGTAGTCTCTTAATCTATTACGATGATCAATAAATCCTTTTTTATAGAAATAATTACATAAATATGACAAAAATAAAGATGATTTAAAAAAATATGACTCATGACTAGAGTAGTAATGAAATCATAGTAATTCATGTTCAAGTTTTGAGCTTAAGTTACCACAACACCACATTGTAGTAATGAATAGTCATATTTATGTAAATATGACTTATTTTAGTATTATTCTTGTAAAAAACCCTTTTTTATGTGTACGAAGATTTATATATTAAATTTCACTAAAATTCCCTTAAAATTAACTAACGTCCAATTAATATTATTAAACTATAAACATGCACAATACGTTAATGGCATTTAATCCACAATACTAAAATTATCAACATCTTAATCTTATTAATAATGCACATTTAACAATTCACTAAATTAAATAATATGAGCAATAAATCCTATAATTTGAGCATATATATAAACTCATTTAAATTAAATAATACTTAAATTCAACTAATATTATAAAAAAAGTTAACTAATTTACGTAATTCACAATCATAATTCATCATACTTAAGTAATGTTTCAATTAACTGACCCTAATATAAATCATTATAAATCCTAAATTAGGCATTAACAATAATTGCTAATAAAGAAATCCTATAATTATATTTAACCATATATAAACTCATTTGAATTAAATAATACTTACATTTAACTAATATCATCTATAACTTAACTAATTTACGTAATTTTAATTAAAAACAACTTAATTAACCTTATGTTTAAATTACACCTACGTTTAACTAATTTTAAGGAATTTATTTCGTTAATTAATTAACAACCTTTTTTAAATGCATTTAATTTAAATTTAACTAATATTAACAAAAGTTTAACTAATTTAGCTGATTAATTAATTTAACTTAATGCGTCACTACGATTAAACCTACGTTTAACTAACTAATTTTTCACTAAATTAAATGAAATTGACGTAATTCGTTACTTAATTAATAATCTCTCTAATTTAACAGTTTATTACACTTAAAATGAACCAACTAACTCATACAAAAAAAATATGTAATTCAAATTACATACCTTATTTGCATAAACAGGGAAAATGATATAAGATGGCTAGATTACATCCTTCAATTCTATCTGGAATAGCTTGTGTGGTTCTGTTGAATGAATGTGATGCTGCATATATAAAATATTTAGTCAGGGACGTAGTCACGGATGTGTCCGTGACTACGTAATTTCGTACGGTTTATTAGTACACTTTAACTTTGGAGCGTTTGAAAAATTAATTTTGGATCTTGTCACGAAATTAGTCACGGAATTATCCGTGACTAAGTTTTGTCACGGAATTAGTCACGGATTCATCCGTGACTAATTTCAAATTTAAAAAAAACATAGGAGGCAAAATTGGGTTGGCCGGAATAGGTTAGTCACGGATATAATCCGTGACTACAAACAGTCACGGACGTAGTCACGGTCATATTCGTGACTATTTTTTTTTTTTTTGAAACAATCTGTGACTAGCCCGTGACTAGAACCGTGACTAACTAGTCACGGACCAAATCCGTGACTAGCGTCCGTGACTACAGGCGAATTTTTTTGTAGCGGATACACCGAACACATGTCGTGTATACCCCGACCGGAGTGCAAGAGTTGGTCATGATCAAAATACATCACTCTGCACATGCAGCACGTATTGACATCAAGTCAGAGGACTATTACACTACTCTATATATCGATAATCTTATAGACACATGAATTGAACTTATCAAATGACTTCTCGGTGGGTGTGTAAATATTCTCTAAAATACTTATACGACCATCATGAATTAGATAAACTCATAGTTGTGACAATATCCCTTTCTCGATAATCATGTCGCATATCATCAATATCCCTTCATCGATAATCATCGATTGTGACTATTTTAGGATCTTATCTTATACTCCCTCCGTCCCGAATTAATTGTCTTGTTTACTTTTGCACAAGTTTTAAGAAAGTTGTTGAAAAGGTAAAAGTTGTGGTTGAGATTTGAGTAGAAAAAAGTGAATTGATATGAGCCACACATTATTGGCAAAAGAGGAAACAAGACAATTATTTTGGTACGGACCGAAAAGGAAAGCAGAACATTTATTTCGGGACAGAGGGAGTATCACATAAACTCTCACTTACTTATAACAACATAAGTCCAAGGGAACGCAATTACGAATAAAACATTGACAATCGAAATGTTTAATCATCAATGTGTGATATCATCATATACATCAAATATATAAAATTAAATGTGATCAAGTACATATATCTCTGCGAAAGTGATTGTTGCTAACATTTATGTTACTATATACTGCGTATGTTTTTATGGATATACCACATCATGTAACCTTAATCACTTGCAAATTTGATCTTGTAACTAATAAATCTTTGCAATTTAAGGACTTTTCCACTTGAAAGTACACTTTTCGATGGAAAAATCCGACGTCGACGACATTTTTTCAAGTATATTATCGCCGGAAAATGTACTTTTCAAGGGAAAAGTCCTTGTATCGCTAATATTTATTAGTTACAGGACCAAATTTGCAAATGACTAAAGTTACGGGACTAATAACGAAAACCTCCAAAAGTTATGGGACGAAAATTACAAATTTCCCTTTTGTAAATAAAAACATGACAGCTCTATTTTGAAATTCTCAACCACGTACTCGATCCTAATTCGGGAATTTTCCCTAACAAGAATGAATGGTAATAAAATTAATAATAATAAAAAATACTACGTAGTATTATTTTTACTATCATTATTATTAAAATTATTATAATTATTATTATTATGGTAGATAGGTGAGACACCTGGGGTGGGGGTAATAAAAATCACGCGTTTTTTTTTTTTGAAAATGAAAAAGGGAGATGATGACATGCATAGATAGAAAGACAGAGCAGCAACAGCTGGGTTGTAAGTATCTTCTCCTCACCATTATTCCCAGCTTACTGTCACAATATATTTAATTACGCGTCTTCAACTGGTTTCTTCATGGTAACATGCATCTTGCACTTGATTGATACTTTCTCAGTTTCTTGTGATAACATCTTAAATAACATCATTTGAATTCTAGGGAATTTTCCTTACAACATCTCTTCCGAAAGAGAAGTACTTAAAGCACACCTTACTACTAGTATTAGATAATAAGAAGTATACGGCACCGGTGCGCATAGCTCAACTAGTAGCGAGGGAGTGACACAACAGTTAAGTCGTCCCGAATTTGAATCCCGACAATTGCGATGAGAGATTACTATGCTAAAAATGCATAGAGTTTCTGCAAGTATCAGAGACAGAGTCTCACTCTCTATCTGTCGGTGTTGGGGGCTTAGGAATGGGTCATTTTTTTTAGATAATATATGGAGTAATTGGATTCTTTCCATATATACAAAAACGTCACGTACATTTTCTTCTTAGTCCGGGATTGTCGGAGGGTAACAAAAATAAAGAAAAGGTTGAATTTTGTGATTTACTCCGTATATAGCAACACGAAATGGACAAAACGTATAAGATGATAAAAAAATGTGACAAATTAAAAGAGGGAGGGAAGAGGTAATTTTTATCTGAAGATGGAGGGAAGGGAGTATTTCTTAAAATATGATGCTCAGTAGCATTAAAGTATACGCATACTTACGAAGTACTACACCAAGTCTCTCCTTTGTGAAAGGTTTTGGGTTCAATTCCCACCAAGGGAGATGAAGGAGATCTTGCTCCCAATGATTCTCCTTACCTTCACGGAGTTGCTGAGAGGTTAAGAAGGGAGAGGATAGTAATGAAGGTAGCGGGTTCGTGTGGTGGGAGGAGCAGCCTGTAATGTGATGTAAGTCCTTCTGGATTCGTCTTTTGGAGTCAATACTGACGAGGCTGACTGTGATCAGATCCGGACTTAACTGTCTAGTGGCTTTGGAGGGTAGTTCATAGATTACAGGATTATGGGAGCGTAAGCCCCGACACCTGGATTATCAAAAAAAGTAAAGTAAAATGTGTTCAAAATGTTGTGCATGAGGAGGTAGGAATGAACTGTCCCCCATCTCCAAGTTTGCATGTGCGCCTTACTCATCTTTGACTTATAACACATAATAAAGCCATATTTTTTTCTTATATCTATCAGTCATCTTCACACTTCACACTTCACACAAAACCCCCAAAACAAGAAAGCAATTCAAGAAGCTGGTGATCGAGCCGAAAAAGAAATGGTGAAGAGCATCGAAGAGCAGAAGAAGATGGCCGCCAAATCTTCCGGCCCCGGCATGGCGGCGGCGGCGATGATAAAGAAGAAGTTCAAAGGCGTGAGGATGAGAAGCTGGGGATCTTGGGTATCGGAGATCCGAGCTCCGAATCAGAAGGCGCGGATATGGCTCGGCTCACATTCCTCCCCAGAATCCGCCGCCAGAGCCTACGACGCCGCACTCTTATGCCTCAGAGGCGCCGCCGCTTCCGCCACTCTCAACTTCCCTCTCCGCCTCGCCTCCTACTACATTCCTCCTTCCGACGCCGCCGTCTTGTCGCCGAAATCCATCCAGCGCATCGCCGCATCCGCCGCCGCCGCGGCAGATGCCGGCGGACCTATCCCTACACCGGCTCTCGCATTTCCCCCTTCTTGCTCTCCATCTTCCTCTTGCTCCGGCGAGCCTTCTCCGCTTTCGGAAGCCGCCCACTTTGAAGACGGCGGCGCGGCTCATGATCCGGCTCCGGCGGCTATAATGGCGTGTAGCTGGTACAACTTCGACTCCCCAAAGTACATGTTTATGAACGAGGGTTTGTTTGACCAAACGACGTTGGTTGACCATCTGAACGAAGATTTTGGAGACATTCGGCTATGGAGCTTCAACTGATCATCTAAAATCTATTCACTTCTATTACACTATATCATTGGTATTTGGTATCATCGCTTTACGTATTAGGGAGTATGTGAAAATCAATTTGTTCAATTTATTTATTCGTCTAATGGCGACAAGATATATTGTATTTAGTTATTTATATTAATGTTCACGCGTTTGAACATTAACCTCTTTTTTTCATTATATTAGTTGCAGAATAATATAACTCGAGTGTAAAGAAATATAACTCACACCGATCAAAATGTAACTGCAAACGATTCAAAATGTAATTTATCTATTACGGATTATAAGAAATAACACATTGATTTTAATGAAAATAAGGAGTCTAATTGCTCAATTACTTTACGTAAACAATGAATATGTTTTTTATATTAAGCCCATAAAAATGTTTTTTTAATCTTTTTTTTGCCAAAAAAATACTCCGTAATTTTTTTGCCAAAAAAATCATTCTGTTTTTGCAAAAAATGATTTTTTTTGTTTCAATAGCACGAGTTTACTTAAATAGTGAATGTATTTTATTTTTAATATTAAGGCCATAAAAATGTTTTTAAAACATTCACTCCTTTTGCCAAAAAAAATCATTTTTTTTTTGCTTTTTTTAGCAAAACGTTGATTATTTTGTTTCAATAGTAGGGCTTTATGTTGTGATGTAATTTGTGTTATGTAAAATGTAACTTGCGTTGATGGAAAATCCAACTTAGGTGTATGCAAAATATAACTTGTTGATGCAAACCCAAATTTAACTCGCGCATAGAAAAATGTAACTCACGCACATAAGGATGTTACTCGCGCATAAAAAAATGCAATTCGCGCACAAGAAGATGTCACTCCCCCATAAGAAGATAGGCCCGGGACTTGGAACCGTAAAACCGGGAAAACCGATCCGAATCGAACCGAATTTTCCGGTTCGGTTCGGTTCCTACAACTTTGGATTTCATCTTTTTTTGGTTCGGTTCCTATGGTATATGATCGGTTCGGTTCCAGTTCGGTTCCGGTTCCTAGGCAAGAACCGAACTTCTTATACATTGCATGAGTAATCTTCATTTGAGATGCTTCTAGGTGGAATTTTTTGATAAATTTTGTGAGCTTGTTTTCAATGAAATGTAGATTATGTCCTCTAAATTTGAGCTTAAAATTCAATCGGGATATTAGTTAAATAAATTATTGAAAAATACTACGTCAAAATACATATAAAAAACACAATGTTTTTCAATATTTTATTTAACTCACTTCCCGATTGCATTTTAAGCTAAAATTTGGTGGATGTAATCTACACTTCATGTAGAACATGCTCACAATATATCATCAAAAAAATTTACCCGAAATGGAGGTGGTCAGACGACGTTCCGGGCAGAAAATTCTTGTCAGGAATATTTGCCTTGCATAATATACCTATTGTGGATCATGCCAATTCAAGCAGTTATTATTTTACTACTTTAGTCGATTTTTATATTTATTATTTGTTTGTGATTGTATTTGTTGTTTGAGGAAAGGAGAGGGCTTTGAAGGGGTTTAGGGAGAAGGGAAGGGGAGAGAGATGGGAAGGGATTCTCTACTCTTGTTTGGGAGTTGCAAATTTTAAAAGAGGAAGATTTGGGGACTTGAGGGGTTTCAGCGGCGAAGAAATGAAGCGAGTAGCAGCTCATAAAGATTTTATGCGGAAGCGGTTTTAGTTTGAGAGGATAAATCTCTCATTTGCATAGCTAGACCTTATAAAACCCTCAAATCAGGGGAATTAGGAACTCAGGTTTGGGAGTGTTTAGAAGGGTTTTATAACACCCCCAAAACCTTTCCCTCATATTATTTAAACTCCCAAATACAAATGGGAGGGTTTATTTCCCTCATATGTCTTCCCCTCCCCTCCAAAAACCTAACTCCCAAAAACACGCTAAAGTTCACATGCAAGTTAACCATATGCAATTTAACCATCTCCAAACATGACTGCATATTTTCCACTTTCTAATCATGCACCAACTTAATATTACAAAGAACTAATAAACATTATAAAAGAGCATAATCGTAGACTCTAAAAACTTCATCCCCTTTCTCTTTAATTATTGTTTTTAACAACCAACAATTGCTGGTAGGTGGTTTGACGAGCATTTTTTAAAGTCGATTTTCTGTTCCTAAACAATTACTTTCAATAGTCAAAGTATTTCACTAATGTCTATTAAGTGATCGACAACATGTCTTAACCACTTTTAGAATTTAGGATTTAGTTGTATACATACTTGATCTCATGGATGTCAAACACACTTCAACCTTTAAGAAAGAACTCGTATATTCATTCACACTATTCGTGACTGCCATATTTTTAATGCTTTAAATTAAAGTTTCAATAAAGTATCCTTGAACACTTTCTTAGTATATCCTCTTCCCATGGAACACCTAAACATACTTGCTTAACACAAATGAAAAATTAAACAATTGCCTCTAATTTCTAGATGAATTTACAAATTCGTTTAAAAGTCAATTTTAAAAAAATCAATAAATATTCAGCAGTATCGGGAAACTTATAGCACTTGTGACCTGTTTACAAAGGAATAGTTTGAATTTTTATCAATATCTTTGTCTCTAATCTTTATATTCTTGCTTTACTATGCTAAAATTAAATTATCCACTACTTTTTCGCACTTTTAAATTTGAGTCACTCAAAACATTGCAATTTTTAACACCGCCATTTATTTTAAATTTTGTAAAGGGTCCATACACAAAATATGCTTAACAAGTTTCTTAATTACTATTCTGTATTTCCTTTTGCAGTAGAACGCCTAACTACTTGCTTAACCCTTGAATGGAATTATAACAAATTTAGATGAGGCATCTTTAGTTTAGATCGTTTGAATTCTTGCTGTCCAGTTGGGAATTCCGAAAAAAGCATCCAAAGACAATACATCTTTTGTTGCTAATGTTGATAAAACCCAGGCAACTGCTTATATTTTTAAGATAGAAAGTGTTAGTTATTTATTTGCTCATTGTACCAGGTTAGAATTTGTTTTGATAATAAGGTTCATAAACTGGATAATAAAGTGTCAACTTATTGTGTTAGCAAATGGTATTTTTGTGAAATGGGTTAGGTACTTAGGTTGCAAATCTACTCAATTTGTGCCCCTAAAGCAGTGCCTGGAATAAGTAATATATTTTCACTTCAGTTAATTAATATGCACTATTTTGATAATCACAGGCGAAAAGCACTGGCCATTAGTCAGATGGAACAAGTCCAGTTTCACTTTTATTAGTTGTTCAAAGCATGAAGGAAACCTTAGTCCTAAGTTTTTAGTATACCCACTAGACAATTAAATATTCAGTAGTACAACCATGTTTACTCACTGGCAGATTCTTATTCGCACTTTTAAATTTGAGTTGCTCAAAACAATTCTATTCTAAACACCACAATTTATTGACAAACTTTACTTACACAATATGCATGAGCAATTTTGATGTTTTACAGGGCTCATAAGACAAAATTAATGGATGCTTAACTAGTTTCTTACTATTTTCTTCTCTAGTAGAACACTTAACATGCTTGTTGTTTAACCCTAAAGACCCGACTTGTTGTCTAGATCGTCAAAATATGGATGTTCCATAGCTTTCTTTGCAGAAATCCTTCTTGATGGTTCATAATGCAGCATCTCCTGCATCACAAAATATATGCACATTGTAAAACATATCCTTCTTTTTAGTTTGATGTTTAAAAATCCACACAGTTGATACTCCAAGGAAATAAAAAACTGACAGCTAGCAAGTTAAGGCCGTCTTCATCCAGATTGGGGACAACAGATGAAAGTGGTTGGGGTTTCCATTGTGGATATTCATGCCAGTTCATCAACTGGCTCACTCCTGGCCATACATCTTCATTTGGTGTACCGAACAATCTATATGCATTAGTAAAAACATTAGTCTAAGAGGAAGTTCAGGAATAAAGAGCAGACGCAATCTTCTGAACCTGAAAATGTCCAGCAGCTGTCGCAACTCAGAATCTCCAGCGAAGAGAGCGTGCTGTGTTATTAGCTCCCCTAAAAATTGAAAAAAAAGGAGAAGCTTAGACAAACACCAAAAGGAATAGTGTGTCAATGAAATTCAGTGAGTGTCTATGTAAATCAATTCTATTACCAAATATGCAACCAACAGACCACATGTCCAAAGCTGTGGAGTAATGACTAGCACCCAGAAGAACCTCAGGAGCCTTGTACCAAAGGGTCGATATCTGTAACAACAGTAGACTGAAAGGTTATACTACCTCCGTTCTTAAATAAGTGCAACGGTCGACTTTTCACGTTTGTCAACGCACAACTTTGACCATTTGTATATTTAATTCTCTATTATTAAAAAAATTAATAAATTCATATGTTGAAAATTTACGATAAGACAAATTTAACAATATGTTTTATAAATTTTTTATTAATATATTCATAAATAAAACGTAGTCAAAGTAGAACATGTGAATAGTGTAAAATTCTACATGTTGCACTCATTTAAGAACGGAAGAGTATATCATTAGTTATTTCAGTGTTGAGTGTTTCAAAAAATATACTCCGTAATAAAAATCAATTAGAACTGAACTTCACTTATCTTTCCCTCACCTTCTGCGTGTACTTCTTGATAGGCAAAGTGAAGCCTCGGGCAAGTCCAAGATCGGCAATTTTAAGCATTGATGTCTTACAGTCCATCAAAAGATTCTGGGGCTTCAGGTCTCTGTGGGGATGAAAATGGGTGAAACTAAATAAGTAAACAGCTGCTTAAACGTTTCTACATTTTCTGTTTACTAAATCACATATATAGGTCTTGAATTTACCTGTGCTAAGTATCACGGAAACGCTAGAAACTCCGGTTTTAAACATAACAAAAAAATTGTAATGAAGATTTCCTAAAAGATTCCAAAACGTGGAGACACCAGGCCACCCCTATGAGTTTCCAGGAATCATTGTACCTGTGCAAAACACCATGTCCATGGCAAAAAGCAACTCCCTTGCAAAGCTGGTAAAGCAAACTCTGTACCCAAAATTTGACACAAGTCAGCAGATACGGAGTATATAGTGTGTTAATGCTATCCAAATAAATATCTATGAATAATAAAACAAGGAATGAATGCGCTAAGTCGATTTCCTGACAGACCGACCTTAACAGTTTTGGGAGGGATATTTTCTCCAGTCTTACTGAAGCTGCGGATAAATTTATAGAGGTCCATATCCATGTACTCAAACACCAAATAGAGATTCGTCTTTCCTTCCCTATTTAGTGCTTGTTTGACATCGATCAATCTGCTCTTGCCACATATAACCAGGACATAAACTTAAAATTCGATTGACAGGATACAATTTCAACATCAACGCAGTCATGATAATGAAAATAAAACGAAGAAAACAAACTGTAATTACACTTAAATAGAAAAGAAATCCTCTTAATGTACTAAAATTCAAGGAATGAAACTGGATCATCTTTCAGGAAACTAGAGCGAGAAATGCACGAGTACTTGTACAATGTGCTCGTGTCATGCGTATCTCAACAACTAAAAACAAGACCGGTGTAGAACTCATCATCAACGGGAGAAGCTAAACCATAATTAGATACAGTATAACAATTATTTGGAGACGGAGAAAAGCGAAAGGACTAAGTTATGTGTACTTGACGATATGCGAATCTCTGGAGAGCATTCGCAAGAGAGAAATCTCGCGGAGAGTGGTGGGAGGGACACCTTCTTTGTCCTGCGGAAGCTTGGTCTTCTTCAGAGCCACTATCCTCCCAGTCGCCCTCTCTCTCGCTCTGTAAACTTTCCCGTAAGATCCTTCTCCCACTTTCTCAAGCTTCTCGAAAGCCTCCTTCGCCGACAAGCCTAATCCGACGGTTTCCTTGTTCTCCATCCTCGATTGCTCCATCTCAGCCTCCGGCTCGCGCGCTTTCAATCTTGTTTTATTTACGGGAAGATGATGGTATACTTTTTGTAGCATTTCTTTGTAGTGCTTTAGACCATTTGGAGCTTGTGACAAAAATGTCAAAAATGGACTCGGCTTATATGTTTTAACTTCTATTTCACTGCATTTCAGTACTGTCAATAAAATATATTCTGCACATTTTTTTACATATCAATTTAGTAAAACATTTATTAAATTATTATAAATAATGTTTTTTTTTAGTTTTTTTCCTGAATAATTATGAAATAAAAATTTAACACATTTCGATATAAAAATAAATAAATTTCATTAATTTTTTAATATTTTTCGGTTAACAAAAATGAACTTAGTTCAAGTAAAGTTCGATTATAAAATATTCAGTTATTTGTGAATACTCCATGAATTAAAAAATTGTGTTTCATCGTTTTTTATACTGAAGAAAACTTCAACAATTAAAATTTAAGAATTTTTATTTCATTTATATATTACATATTGATGTCATATGAAAAATCATAAATTTTTTTGAATTTTGATATATGTTTCGAAAAAATTGGAGAATAATTACAAAAAGTTATACAAGTTTTTAAAAAATTAGGATATTATTATGCAACGATGATGTCGGCACCATGTCAGCCTGGCATCACTTCCGCAACCAATTCCTGGGCACAAGAAATGGCCACATGGCCACCCCCTCCCTTTTTATTCCTCTCTTGCATTGAGACCCTTCAAAATACCCCTTTCATCCCCTTCTCCATTTTTACTCCCCCATTTATAGCCAACTACAACAAGGAATTAGATGTTTGAAAATTCCACTTTTATCATTTTGAACTCCTAATCCTTCAACACCACTCCAAGTGATCTTATGTAGTTTTTGAAATTTTCAAATTTGATCTAATTTGGTTTGATATGATTAATTCAAGTAAAAGCATTCCTATAATTCAAAACATATTTGCCTTACTCATTCAAACAATCTAGGCCAAAACTTCTGATGTAGTTATGTGTAAAATGGACCATAGATAAAAAAATGTGGGCCTGAAACATCCCTTCGTGGTCTTTGCACCAGAATGTCAAACTTTTCCCCTTTATCATAATCAACAGTTAATGTTAAATATAATTAGCAGAATTAGATATACTTTTTTCAAAAGATTAGATATTGTAGATTTAAAGACCTTTTCCTTTAGATAAAGAAGTAGTCAGTTTTGCGGGAGAGAGAACTTTAGCATATTGTGCATGAAACTCATTAAATAAATTATGAAATATATTAATAACCTCATTGAATTGTGCTTGAGAATCTATAATGTTGTCTCCGTACATAGGCAAGTCATCGTAGAATGAAATATAATAGTAATCTAAAAATGTTTTATAAGTAGGGAGTTTGAAGTGGGGATCAAGAACGAAAGTGAAATATATACGTGGAATGTAGACCTAATATTTTTAAAAAAAAATCTTTCATGTAATCACAAAAATAATGAACATACATAAGTGGCTTGAGAAAATTAATTGAAACCTCCATCCCACCTTCAACAGCTTATATGCCCCCCACCCCTTTATTTTTTAAAAAACGTTGGGGCTGGAATCGGAACCGGGACCATCTAGTCCAGTCCCTAAATTTCATACCCAGGATCAGGCCCGTTGATTACCTGATCGGGTACCCGGTCTTGAGTCAGGACTGGGAAAATAGACCCGATCCGATCCCAAACAATACCGAACCGGGTCCACTCCTAATTAATCTTCACATGCTTTTAAAAACTATAATTAAGGTAAGCTATAGGTTACACTTTTTTTATGATAAAACTAAGAGTATAAGAGCATCTACAATGCTACAATGTAGCATGAGAGAGACAAAAGAGTAAATTAATGGCATTTCTCTCTCCTTCAGTCTTATGTGTTTTTTTTATCATTTCAGTCTTATGTGTTTTAAATAAGTTATTCGCATTGCATTTGAAAGTGTGGGAAAAATACTTACTAAAAATATATAAAACCATTCAAATTAGGATAAACATATTCCACATATTAATTCTTATGTGTTTAGTTGTCCACCTCTCTCATGCCACGTATACACCACACACATTTTTGCGTTGTAGATGCTCTAAGAAATTAAATAGAATATACAAGAAAAAAAAATATCAAACAAAAATAGGGAAAACATTCGGTCCTCGTACTATCATGAAAAAGTCAATTAGGTCCTCGCACTTTTAAAATATCAATCAAATCCTCTAACTTTGTAAAAAAGATCAATTGAGTCCATTAGCAAGCTACTTGCCATGTCAGCAGGTCACCCGCTGATGTGGCGCACATGTGGCAACCTAATCAGCAGTAACTTTGCTGATGTGGCACGCATGTGGAAGTTCAATCAGCCAATTACCGATGATGTGGCGCACACGTGGAGCGCCATGTGTGCGCCACGTCAGCGAGTGACATCATGACATGACAAGTAATCTGCAAATGTACTCAATTGAACGTTTTTACAAAGTTCAGGGATTTGATTGATTTTTTAAACATGCGAGAACCTAATTGACTTTTTCATGAAAGTACGGGGATCAAATTGATAGTTTTCTCAACAAAAAGATGACTTTATAGTTACCATGATCGAGTTTATTTTTTATACAATAGCACGAAGATCTCTAAATCTCTAATGCAAAAACATGAACAAGTGCATACACAACATGAAAAATATACACACATAAAAATTAATGAATGAAATATCTTTCTCCTTATATGAACGATTGTGACTATTTTTTATAAGTTTTTGTACACTATCAATTACGTTGTCTCAATTTAGATATTATAATTGACAGTGTTAGGAAATTTTACCAAAAACAAATAAGAACGTAGAAAGAAAGTGAGGGAAGTGTCATAAATTTATTTACTTTATTTATCTCACTCATGTCTCATATGTATCATGCAAATGAAACTTTGGAGATTATTAAAGGTGGCAAAAATCTATTCCGTCATAGCTCTACCTTTCCATGTACTCTATTCCACCATTGATTTTCTCTTTATTTTTTTAATGATTTCCCTTAAATATTATTGAAGTATAACTTATAGATAATATTATTAAAGGGAAATCATTAAAAAAAATAAAGAGAAAATCAATGGTGGAATAGAGTACATGGAAAGGTAGAGCTATGACATAATAGATTTTTGCCACCTTTATTTTTTGAGATTTTTGACACCTTTATTTTTTGAGATTTTTGCCACCGAATACACTATAATTAGCATTTAATTTTTCAGATACATTAACACTTTTGTTGTATCCTCAATATGAGTAGGACCACAAGTTTGATTGAAACCAAAAATAACATAGTAATTAATTAATATTTGTAAGAAGAGCTTAACGATAGGAATCAAAAAGTAATTGACAAAATCGGAAAGTGACAAAATTTTCATGACATTCGAAATTTTGGGATACTTTGTCTTTGTACCCCGTTTTTTGAGTGATATTAGACTTTGCAATCCATTTTCTGAGAACTTAAACTTTGCACCATATTTCCCCTAAAAAGCCTTTGACTATGCAACCAATTAAGAAATTTCCTTCACAAGATGTCATACGACAAGGTGCAAAGTCCAAATTTTTTAAATAGGGTGCAAAGATCCATATCACTCAAAGATCACCCAAAAGTTGAGGTGCAAAGTCCAACTTCCCCCTATAATTTTTTACAAATGATATGTTAACAATATGATCATATCTTTTTTGTTTCACAAATGTAAATATATGGAATTATAAATATAATTTAGATTAAGCAAATTATTTATGAGGAGTAACTAACATTAAATTGAATCGAATGTAGTATTATATAAATTTGATAAAAATTTGATACATAAAGTAAGAGATTAAGAGCGATTTGTGTTGACCAAGTGAATAGGAAATGGGACAATAATAAGGGGGCGGAGGGAGTATTTCACAAACGGAACTTTAAAATGTTTACTATAACCTAACAAAAGTTTGAAATATTTTAAATTATGTACTTATAGGGATGGACCAGGGCCGGTCGGGTTCCGATTCTGGGCCGGGCCCAGGCGGCCTTTTTTTGCAAATCCTTGGGCCGGGAACCAGCCCGGGTTGATATCGGGTCCGGGCCTAACCGAGCCGAAAGGCCCGGTTCAATGTCTATTTTTTTTTTTTTGCTTTCTTGTTATCCCCCGACCCCCCCCCCCCCCTCCTCCCTCACCCCCCACCCCCAAACCTCCCCAAAACACCCATCCCTACCCTAGGAAAAGAAAAAAAATTGATAAAAAAAAATTGACCCAGGCCCAGCCCAAACCGCCCGGGCCGGTTCGCCCAAAACTGGGCCGGAGCCCAGCTCGCCCGACCCGCCCAAACGGGCTAAACCGGCCAACCGGTCCCGGTCCGGTCCGGGCCCGCACAGTAGCGGGCCGGGCCGGTTCCGGACCGGTTCCGGACCGGTTCCGGGCCGGTTCCGGACCGATTCCGGGCCGGTTCTGGGCCGGGCCGGTTTAGTCCATCCATATGTTCTTATCACAATAAATTTATACTGTGCGAAAATATGTTTTTATATCAAGTTCAGAGTATAAATACTATATATGCAAATTTGGTATACTTAACTCGCACTCTTTCTAACTCCTTTAGAATTTGGAGAGCAATATTATTTTTCCCTCATAAAAAACACCCAGTTCCTAGTTCCTATAGAACATCCACTAGCTTGTTTACTCGGGCAGTAAACTTAGAGGAAGAGAAACCAAATGGCTTGACAAGTAACTTCCTCACAGTTCGTAATGCAATGTCTGGTGAAAAGATTCCCTGTATAAACTGAAGAACTGAAGAGGCCAGTTTATAACAAACAAAATGTTCATATTATATACACTGAAATGGTAAAAGAAATCCTATTAAATATACTATACATTGTTTCCAAATCGGAACTCAATAATCTGCTCTCCGACTGTTGACAAGGTGCCTAACAAATTCATCTTCCTCACACACATCTTTTTCCCATAGTTCCAGGAAATGTCTGTAAGACTCATCATAGGCAACTGCTTTGCGCAAACAATTGATGGCTTCAAGTTTGCATCCCTCATTGTACAAAACACTGCAATTCATGCTTACCTATTTACAACTTCATTCGGTCCAAAATTTCAACCAAGCTGTTTACTAACTCAGTTCCTTCTTAAAATAGCATTAGAAACATAAGTCTTTTTAAGGGCATATGGGAAGTTTTTTTCGAAAGGAGGGGCATATGGGCAGTTCTATACATTTGGAATTTGATACTTGCTGCACCTCACCAGTCCAGTCTTGTTTTAGAGGGAGTCCAACAAGAACCGGTTTGGGATGGTTTCCGAAACTGCAAACCCATCTGGTTTTGTGGAAGGGGCAGTCCCGGTCTAGTCTGAAGAACCAGATCCACCCCTAACATCACCCCAATATGAGCTTAATCTTTATTTATGAGAGTGACTTTTAGGAGTCTGTAAATCAAAGAAAACAGAGTTATTGTTATCGGCAATACCTTGAGAATACCACCAAAGCTTCATAGTAATTAGCTTTTGTGTTTGAATCTTCTGGCTCCTTCATCTTTGTTATCCTGTGCAGATGTACGATACTCTCATCGAATTTCCCCTGCATAGAGAAAGGCAATCAGCTTTTAAAAGTAAGACATTGCTTGAAATTCACTCTCTCCGAATACAAGAAAAATCTATTTAACATTGAACTGATGGAATATTGTAGCTGAGTGATGTTCTGTGAAAGGATGAACTCCCTTTTTACTATCCACACTTCTACATATGAAGATATAAACAAATATAGTAGCAGCACAAAATGTTTTCCGAACTTTGAAATTTTAATTGACCAACTGATGGCAATCACCTTATAATTTATCCAATACTATCAACAAGTTATCCATCAAAATCCCAAATATTGTCATATACTACCTCCATCCCAAATTGATATGCAAAATTGACTTTTCTTGGTCAAAATGTTCCATTTTATTCACTTAATTAGGATGTCAATTTTTAATTATATTCTAATTTGGAGTTTGCAACTTTGAAAAGTTTTTAATGTAATTTCTGAATATGTAAATTTTAATTGTTAATTATCAATAAGTAGGGTTTAACTTTAACATTGGTTGACCAAAAAATGTTGACTTTGTAAATCATTTTGGAACCGAGGGAGTAGTAAATACTACCTTTGTCCCCCTAATATTGGGACAGAAGAGAGTGGTGCAGTTCTTAAGAAAAGTGAAATTATGTGGTTTATAGTGAATTGAAAAGTGAGAATAAAGTAAGAATGAATTAGAGTCACACAAATCTTTCCAAATATGGTATGAGACAATATTAGAGGGACATCCAAAAATGGAAAAACGGGACACTTATAGGGGGGCGGAGGGGGTAGTAAATACATTTTTGAACGATCGAATGCAAGATAGTGATTTTAAAAAAATTTAGTACTTAAAAGGGTAAATCGAGAAGAAAATGGGAGATGGAAGCGACCGGAGACGGGTTGTATCAAGGATTCAAGATTAATGTAGATGATGCACTGGACCCAAATAGCTTCACATGTGGGCTTGGTATGGTTGCTCGGGATGAGTTCGGATCTTTTGTGGCAGGGATGAGATGACAGTGTAGGGGCAATTTTGCAGCAAGCTCTACTGAGCTGATAGCCATAAGGGAAGCGACACAGTGGGCCAAGGAAAATGGTTGGCAAAATGTAATCATTGAATCAGATGTTCAAAAGGTTGTGCATGGTGCCAATTGCCCAGATGAATGCTCCTATGATACAGCTTTGTCAGATGATATTAGACACATGATGGCGTCTATCGCTAATATTTTTATCCAATATGTGTGACGATCACGAATAAGGTTGCTCATGCATTAGCTAGACAAGCTATTTCTGAGTCTGATTGTTCTTGGTTTGAGATTCCACCATTTTGTATTCGAGACATCCTATTGAGGGAATCATTAATGAAAGTTATGTAGTTTTTTTCAAAAAGGGGGGGACTGTCAAATATGCCCCTATTGTTGTATATCAAGAATGTCAATTAAGTCCTCGTACTACTGAGTCACCCGATCAAACTCGTAAGTCCTAAACTATAAAACCTCAATTCAGCTTTCTAGCTAGTCACCAACAGGTTAGTCGGTTACTTTGCTACGTGAAGGTTGACATGGCCTAAATTTTTCCATGCTGGCCGTTCACCATCAACCTTCACTCCTCACACCCTTTCTTACCCGGTTAGTCCCCTGCTAAAGCTGAATTGGGTGTTTTTATAGTTCAGGGGTTTGATTGGGTGATTTTGTAGCAAGAGGACTTAATTGACGTTTTTCATATACTACGGGGCCTATTTCATAGTTTTCCGGACTCAAATAAAAATGGATATTGTTTTAGAATTGACAAACAAAAATAGTAAATACAAAATTTAAAATGATTAATACGGTCTTTAAAAGACCTTACCAAATTGAGACCATATTTTTATCTCAACAAAGAAGTCAAAGTCAAGTTATGAGATCTTGCCATTTACCTGCCGTGCATAAGCTACACCTGCCCATTCAGATGATAGGATCAAAAGATTAACATCCTCAACTCCTGTTGGAGGCCCATTATGGAGCAGCTAGATACATTTTGCAAAAAGTGAATAATTGGGTCAGAATAGGCAGAAACATGCATGCATGCATGTTTAGCCACACTAAGTGAAACATGAAGAACTATACCGGAAACAGGAAAAGACGCCGTTAATTTCAAACCTTAGATATAGCACGCTCTAAGTATTCAGTAGCTTCTGTAAAGTAGCCATAATGCAATAGTGCCTGCCCCAGAACAGCCATAGCTCTAATGTGCTCGGGATCCTTGTTAAGAGCAAGTCTGTGATTTATGTTTACACATGCATTCAGGCACCAAAAAAATATAAACAAAAACAAAAATATTCATAAGTATAGATTACCGCAGAAGTGGGAGAGCCACATCTTTCTGATCCTTTGCTAAGAATTTGCTAGAAAGCTGTATAAATTCCATATCTTTTAATTTTGATATTTATTTAAAAATCCATATTCCATACTACATAGCATATAGACGATGACTTACTCGAACCATTTCTGAAGGAGATGGGTTCTCAGAAAGTATCTCACGCAAATCGCTCGGCACATATATTTCCATTATCTCAGATTTACCTTTCTGTTGTGTGGCTAATGCAGAAGCATCCTGACCAGGTAGCCCCAATTTCTTGCAAACATCTGGATGGCTTAAAGCTATTTGCTTTACATCACATCGTAAAGAGTTAAGATGTAACTAAGTTACCAATATGTGAAACAACACTACACATGAGTAGCTTCTGGTTGAGCAGTTCAAAGCCCAAAAAAGGACTGTGGAAGTATGTTGACAGCCATTTATAAAGCCATCTAAAAATGAGCAGGATGTACTCCATGAATACTCAGCACAGGTGTATGACTATTAGATGGTAGTAGATGCCCCTTAAGATACAACTCATAGATAGACATACAGACAGTTCAGTACATGTCCAAACTTACCCACATAGATATTGTTATTAAAGGCATGTTGATGCAGAACTTTCAAACTCAGTAATGTAACTAACTACAGAAATAACATCCATATAGGCATATAATTGATATTTAACTAGATCAGGACTGTTAAGTAAACTAATACATCATGCACCAAGCACTAAAACGCGAGGTTTAACAATGCTCTCTAGATACTATTTATACGCAATATTGGCAATTTTTAGCAAATAACATGAAATTAACTCGGTTTCAGTAAACTGAACTCTTTCTCTGGGACAAAAAAGGCTTCAAACAGGATTGCTTTTTCGGAATGTAGTGAGCATATGAAAATTGAGGATGAGTACAGCATCATAGATAAAAATTATTAGGTTCAAGTATTAAAGTTTGCAGAGAAGTTTGAATTTTGTGTGACTTTCTTTCTATGTTATCCAGAGATGAGAAATACCTGAAGAAGACTCAATGAGCTATTTGTAACCCAACATATTAAGCTCCCCTGCAAAAGATAGAGAAAATGTAAGAGCTCTTATATGTCCATTAGAAATATTATGTACGATTTGCAGAGAGAATCTGTCTCATTATTATGTTTTATTCCTATCGAGGCACTCTAGAATTTTATATACAATCAGTATATCTATTCAAGTATAAATGCATTTAGATCAAATATAATTACTATGTCTGCCTGGCTTAGTCTGTATAACAGAAAAGTGCATCATCTCATCAATTTTACATTTTACATAACTTTAAAATTACTTCCATGCATGGCTGTAAATGATGATTCCTGAGAACTGTCTCCTTAGGAAAGTTTAAAAATTTAACACTTGGACGCTAACTAAACCTGCTTTTGTGAAGGGCCGGACATGATCCATGTTATTGTGAAAGGTGCATGCACCTCTTTAATATGACGCACAACTAAATGACGAATATGGATAAGCCTCATAAGTCATAATCCAATACAAATTCACCTTCTCTAAGGAATAAGCCTCTCAAATAAGAAGTTGTTATTGTTGTTGTCTTTCCTTTCTCTTCTAGTTGTGTTACTCACCAAATGTTTAGGCCTAAAACATGTGGTAGATTTAGATGGCATTAATCATTGATGGGACATTTTTTCCTCTTCTAGTTTAATATTTTGGTTCATCAGCTCCACAAGCCCCACTAAGAAGACCCCATTGTCAAACCTAGCCTTCAAAGACCAAATGATTTTCTTCATCACTCTTCCCACCAACTTTATATTACTATCATCAATTTAAGTTAAAAAGGGGACAATCAGATCGCATGCATTATATCAGTAATTCAGTGCACAGTTGCATTTCACGAAACCATATCATTCAACTTTTGTTGATCCATCTTCTTTGTGAAAAACAATTGTGCACTGAATCAATGGTATAATGCCTTTAACTAGTAATGATGAACTGCCTATGGGAAAATGGTACGAGAATACAATGAAGAAATAATGAGGTCTTTGAAAGTGAGGATTTGATATTGCATCTTGTAATAGACTAATAGGGAAATAGGTCTGACGATCCTGCATATATATTACTACCTCCGTCCCACTAACATTGGGATATGAGGGGATGACACGGTTATTAAGAAAAGTGATTTTATGTGGTTGATATTAAATTGATAAAGTAAAAATAAAGTAAAAATGATTTAGAGCATAGTTGTCGATGGCGCAGAATGGCGCTTGCGCCATGAGGCGCGCTTATGGCCTCTGCGTCATGAAAATAGGCCCTGGCGAAGGAAATACACATGGCGTCGCCATTCCATCACCTTCGCCATTCTCTTGCCATAGCCATGGCGATGCGCAGAGTTTTTTTAACACATCAGCGGGTATTTGGTTTGTGATTTTGGGGCTGTTGGGCCTGCTAAATGCTAACCTTAATAAAACTAATAAAACTTAATATTTTAGTCAATTCTACTAATAACAACCCTGAAAAATAAATAAATACACAAAGTATACTGCGGACACTTGAAGTTAAAGCTGCGACAAAAAGCTGAGAGCCAAATGACAGAACCAGATGCGACAAATGGGAACTCATTGACTTCTTCCAACTACAAAAGGTATGACTACCCTCTTTAATGCTCTGTATTAATGAAGAAAACTTCAGTAGTTATACTTTATACTTTATACAGTTATAGACTTATAGTTTATAACTTTATACTACCTCCGTCCCGCTATGATTGTCCCATTTTACCTTATCGGTCCGTCCCACTAAGATTGTCTCATACCAAATTTGGCAAAGTTTGTGTGGTTCTAAACCATTCTTACTTTATTCTTACTTTATCAATTCAATATCAACCACTTAAACCATTTTTTATTGATTTGCGTGTCACTCCCTCTTGTCCCATTGTTAGCGGGACGGAGGGAGTACAAAACAGTATAAGAAAATTTCAGAACCATGTGTTATAGTTATAGTTAAAATGTTAACAAATCATTTAACACACCTGTTTTGAGACTTTGAGTGTTTAAATGTTATAGTTTAGGCTTCTGAAATTAGCATGCATTTAAACACACTTGTTAACTATAACACATTCAAAATGATGTTTTAAAATGTTGCTTAGTACATTTAAAATTAGCATTTAAAAACTCAAAGTTTATAATAACTATAGCTTCAGTTTATACTTTATACTTTATACAGTTATAGACTTATAGTTTATAACTTTATACAAAACAGTATATCAACATTTCTGAACCATGTGTTATAGTTACAATTAAAATGTTAACAAATCATTTAACACACCTGCTTTGAGATTTTGAGTGTTTAAATGTTACAGTTTAGGCTTCTGAAATTAGCATGCATTTAAACACACCTGTTAACTATAACACATTTAAAATGATGCTTTAAAATGTTGTTTTAAGTACATTTAAAATAAGCATTTAAAAACTCGAAGTTTATAATAACTATAACACATTTAAAATGATGCTTTAAGTACTTTGAGTGTTATAGTTTATAAATGATGCTTTGAGACTTTGAGTGTTTAACAAATCATTTAAATTGATAAAGTAGCATAGCAATTAACATTTAAATTTCAGGTGTGTTTAATACTGTTAAATTTACTTTAAGCCTTCTGATGTTCAGTATAAACTTTAAATTGACATTTTAAACACTCAAAGTCTCAAAGCATCAGAAATTTAAAGGTTGATGAAGTTTTTTACTTTTTAACTTGCAGATAAACACAGTACATAAATAGATGTTCAGTTTAGGCTTCTGAAATTAGCCTGCATTTAAACACACCTGCTTCAGTTTAGCCTGCATTTAGCACACCTGCATTTAGCCTTCTCAAATTTAAAGCCTTCTGATGTTCGGTTTAAACTTTAAAATGACATTTTAAACACTCGGTCTCAAAGCATCAGAAATTTAAAGGCTGATGAAGTTTTTACTTTTTAACTTGCAGAAGATGTCTACTGCCTTTGCTAAGGAGCATTGTGAGAAACTGAATGGAAAAAACAACAACGACCTGCGATGCAATCACTGCGGGCATGTTACTAAAGGTGGGATTACTAGGTTTAAACAGCATTTGACCAGGAAACACCGCAACACAAAAGATTGTGAACTCTTTTCTGTTGATAAGAAGGCTGAACTGCAAGCGTTGGTGTTGAAAGAATCTGCTGCTTCCAAGTCAGACAAAAATGTGATTGAACGCACATTTCAGAGTACATATACAACACAACAGAGCAGCCCGATGGATCAAGTGCAAATCGGGTGAATGAAGATGATGACGCTGAATTGTTGAAATAATCGGTTCTTAGTCAAATGCAGAACAAGCTGGTTTGACTGGACCGATGGATAAGTTCGTTTATCCAACAAAAAAACGGAAGGAGGCATTGACACAAACAACAATCCCATCACACATGAAGAAAAAAGAGAGGGATGAACATGCTCAAAGTCTCTGTCTGTGGATGTACAGGAACTGCATCCCCTTTAATGTGGTTCATGATCCTTTGCAGAAACAAGCGTTTGAAAAGATTGGCAGATTTGGAGCCGGGTTTAAAGCACCAACGTATCATGAAATCAGAGAAACAATCCTGCGAAAAGGGGTAGAAAAAACAGATCTTGTGGTCAGCGAGAAGTTCTTATGAAAGCCGTAATGTCACAAGGTTGGAAAGATAAAAGACATAGAACTCTAGTGAACTTGTGCGTGAATTCTAGCAAGGGGACAGTGTTTATGAAAGCCGTAGATGTTTCATCTTACAAGAAGACCGAGGAAACACCTTTCAAGCTTTTTGATGAGTGGATTAAAGAAATTGGTCCTCAAAGTGTCAAACAAGTTGTGACTGACAACGCTAAAAATTATGGATTGGCGAAGACGAAAATTGAACAAAGATATCCGGTTTATCCACATATCTTCACAATGGGATGTGTAACGCACTGTCTTGACCTTGTTCTAGAAGACTTTTTAAAGAAGATGTCGATAGTTAGAAGGGATGTGAAGACCGCACAAGGGATTAATACCTACATCTACAGCCATACCCTTGTTCACGACCTGATGAAAGCACTTTCTTGGTTTGATTAAAATGGTTTGTTCACAGCCATACCCGACTTGTGTCATACCAATGTAGCACGGAAACTAGTTATGCTTCCGTGGTTTTTGCAAACTCGCTTTCAAACCATTTTAGTGAAGCAAACATTTGTCTTAATGCTTGTTTCTGCATGTGAAGACTTTGAATAGTTAAAAAGTTAGTGGCAAATCGGGTGGCAGCTGGTGTAATTAGCTCTTTCCCCTTGGTAAATTCTGTCATCAAGTCGTGAACAAGGGTATGACGGTAGATGTAGATAGTAATCCCCTGCGTTGTCTTCACAGTACTTCTAACTATTGGCATCTTCTTTGAAAAGTCTTCTAGAACAAGGTCAAAATAGTGAGTTGCACATCCCGTTGTGATGATATGTGGATATCTTTGTTCAAATTTCCTCTTCGCTAATCCATAATTTTTAGCGTTGTCAATCACAACTTGTATGACACTTTGAGGACCAATTTCTTTAATCCACTCATCAAAAAACTTGAAAAGTGCTTCCCCGGTCTTCTTGTAAGATGAAGCAGCTACGGCTTTCATAAACATTGTCCCCTTGCTAGAATTCACGCACAAGTTCACTAGAGTTCTATGCCTTTTATCTTGTCATTCGTCTGACATTATGGTGAAGCCATCTAATTCCCAGAATTTCTTATGCTCACAGACCACAAGATCTGTTTTTTCTACCTCTTTTCGCATGAATGTTTCTCTGACTTTTATGATACGTTGAAGCTTTAAACCTTGCTTATTTGCCAACCTTTTCAAGGGTTTGTTTCATCAAAGGGTCATGAACCACATTAAAGGGATGCAGTTCCTGTACATCCAAAGAGGCTTTCAGCATGTTCATCCCTCTCCTTTTTGTTCATGTGTGATGGGATTGTTGTTTGTGCCAGTGCCTCCTTCCATTTTTTTGTTGGATAAACGAATTTATCCATTGGTCCCGTCACACCAGCTACCAGCTTGGTCAGCATCTGCTTGAGAACCGATTGTTTCAACGTCATCATATTCTTTCACCTGATTTGCACTTGATCCACCGGGCTGCCCTGCTGTATATGTACTCTGAAATGTGCGTTCAGTCACATTTTTGTCTGACTTGCGACAGATTCTTTCAACACCAAAGCTTGCGGTTCAGCCTTCTTATCAGCAGTTCACACTCTTTTGTGTTGCGGTGTTTCTTGGCCAAATACCGTTTAAACCTAGTAATTTCACCTTTAGTAACATGCTCCTTAGCAAAGACAGTAGACATCTTCTGCAAGACTGCAAGTTAAAAAGGTAAAAACTTCATCAGCATCAGCCTGATGCTTTCAGACTTTGAGTATTTAAAATATCAATTTAAAGTTTGAACTGTTAATCATCTCAACTAAATTGAAGTATCAAATTGATACGTCTTAAGCAAGTATTCCTGCTTTAAGAAAGTGGCTAAATGCAGGTGTGCTAAAGCCTAAATGCAATACAGTTATACAGAAAGCTAAATGTGTGTGCAGGGGTGCTAAATGCAATACAAAAAGGCTTTAAATTTCAGAAAGTGGCTAAATGCAGGTTTAATTGATAAATAAATAAATAAGTCCAACAACTCCAACTGTTTCATTTGCCAAATGCAGGCTTTCATTTGCCAAATGCAGGTTAATTGCAGGCTAAATGCAATGCAGGTGTGCTAAATGCAGGCTTTCATTTGCCAAATATTCAGCTGCTCACTTCTTTCAAACAACAAAAGTAAACTTATATATGCAAGTTATGGATTATGGCTTATAAACTTTGACAGATCAAGTGATCAACTTTAGAATGGAACTGATATTTGAAAATAAACTTATATATGCATGTTATAGAACAAGAGTCATGTATTGATCTTAATAGTAGCTTTCGGTCGATTTAATGAAATCAATTAAGAGCGATAACTCGTAACCCGTGGTGAGTATTCTAAGGTCCAGTAATTGTATCTAATTCATCCATTGGTCATCTAATGAAATTAGTTAAGATTGATAACCTCAACATAAGCAGCTTTTCGATTCAACCAATATAACTACTCCCACTTAGATTATTAACCATGAGATGCAAGCATTAGTAATCTAATAAATAGCACTAATGAATAGCACATATCAAGGTGCTTGGGGAGGGGGCAATGGAGGATCAAGAGAGCCTATGTATACATACCTGGGGAATATAGAATGCAATGAACATTGTTGGTAGTGTCATAATTTCCAGATAAAACTTGTAGAACTGCATCAAGGCATACATTGATACATTTATCGGCATGTCATACAAACTTCACCATGAAATATACCACTTTCTCTATTATATATGACAATAATGACACACACACTGACACACGCACAAATATGTGTGTGTAATTGTGTATGTCTTATACTATTATAAATACACACACATATACGCACGGTCAACAGTCACATATAGATACATAGATACATACAGTCATACATACATACACACACATATATGCATGCATGTGTGTGTGAATATATATATATATATAGAGAGAGAGAGAGGATGGTTCAAATAAAAAGAGGTCTTAACGTGCAAAGTGATAATTTTGCACTTTTTCATGTTTCGTTTGCACTTTTTCTTGCTTTCATTGCACTTTTTCACGGTAGCTCAAAAAAATTGGTTTATTCACAAAACTGTCACCGTCATTTTGGCAGAATTTGGCCAAAATCAAAATGGCCAAAAAGTGCAACGCAAACAACAAAAAGTGCAAGCGAAACATGAAAAAGTGAAAACTTTGCACTTTGCACGGGAAGATCAAGGGAATAGGTTTTGGTTCAAATAAGAACATGATCTTAGGAGAGAAATGAGAACGAATCTGAACCATTAGATTTGCTTTAAGTGAAATTCAATGTGCATTAGATGAAACTGTAATGTGCATTATGTAAAATTGAAATGTGCAACACAAAGCGTATGATACAATGTCATTAAGTGAAGCTGAATTGTGCATTAGGTGAAATTGAAATGTGCACTAGGTGAAACTGAAATGTGCAGAATAAAAGGTATGATGTGACGTTATTTTTGTACATTTTATTCTGCACATTTCATTTTCACCCAATGCACAATTGAGTTTAAATTTTTATTTTGCACATTTCAGTATCATGTAATACACATTTCAGTTTCATCAAATGCACATTTTCGTTCCACATAATACAATCCAACGATCCAGATTCATTCTTATTTCTCTCCTGGGAGTCCATTCTTACCGGAAACACTCCCTATATATATATATATATATATATATATATATATATATATATATATATATAGGGAGTGTTTCCGGTAAGAATGGATGCTAGTGCAACCAATGAGAGCCTGGCACCAAAGCAGGGAATTTGAAATAGAGGCTTAAAAGAGCTCTAATTTAAAAGCTACCGTTTATCAAAGTAAGATGCATTTATATCTTTCCACACATATTAGCTTCTCAGCTAGCTTTTCAGCTCAGCGTGGCAGCTTGGCTATATAAGCAATGTCAACGTACTCTGGTTTATATGCACATGGATTTTAGCCCTAGGATTGTAAAACCAACTTCTCCACATTGCTTTAGTTTCCCATGTTACATTTTATGCCTATATGGCTATTTAGGGCATGGCAATGTACACTCCAATATATCAATCGATATAAAAACATCATTCTCATTCTCTATAACAAATATGAATTCTACACATGGACGGCTAACTTTCAGAAATAATGAACTCGACTTTAATTTAATTAACTAGACTTCCAAAAGTTTGACAAAAAACTAGCATCCATTATAGTAAATATTGCACTGCCCATTTTAATCCGAGAAAATAACTACAAATATGTAACAAGCAAACATAACTAATTATAAGTATTCACAACAGCAAATCAAGTTTAGACCTTGGCAAATTCACTCATGGTCCCGCTGGACACATTCTGAAAAGAAACCTGAAAAGGTAGATTCATTTGACATGTAAAAATATATTCAACCAAGGGAAAACCAAACTAGCACAAAAAACAAAGAGAAAGAAAACATCTAACGCAACTAAAAGTGAAACAAATCAGCTTTGTCAAAATTTGCTAGGTTATATTTTGACTGTTGAACAAGTTAAACCACGCAATCTAGGGGGTATACTCCAAATCATCATCATTACCCCAGTGCCACAAAGGCTCCCACATCTTCGGTGGGGTAAGGGGGTCGGATGTACGCAATCTTACTCTTGTACTAAAGCACAGAGAGACTGTTTCCGGATGACCCAAAGTGAAAATCGCGTCAAAAATTGCATGGACTGACAGCTGCTTCATATTCCCAATCCAAAAAAATAGTGAGTTTTTGGTTCACTGTTTTTACTAATCCAAAAGAATCTCCTAAAATCCCCTATATCAAACTTAAAAATTTACTAGCATGGCCCTCTGAATGTTGATACCATGTATTTTACTTTATAAATATTTTCAAGGAAATACTTTAAAACAGAAGTACCTTAATGTTAGTATAATACAAGACAGCAACCAGCAAAGGGAATATGAGGCCTAAAGTACCATTTGGAAGTTCTGTCAAATTCTGAAACCATAGAGTTCCCCCCTGCACCAATTTGAAAAGGGAAGAAAACATTAACATTACCTATCAGAAAAAATAATAAATTTCTATTTGACATATAACTAAAACAAGCTAGACGGCAACCTAGATCATAATAAATAATAACAGCAAATCAGCAACACCAACAACAAAAATAGTAATGAGAACAATGGTAGTTCACCTTTGAAAACCCACTGCCAAGGTTGCATATTGAGCCATAATTTGTTCTTGACAAAACGATATTGAAACATTAAACTTTTAATCTCTATGGAGTATAGACTCAAGGTTGCATGCCAAAGCAGACACAATTATCTTCCCTGTGCCTAATAGGAGGCACAAAACAATGTGTAAACACCTAATGGCTATCTTCAATTAATGTGGGCTTTACAAATGAAAAGGCTGACCTGGTTATGAACTTTTGACGTTTGTTACACAGGTCAAACCTTTAAGAGAATTTGGTAAATGGAGTTAAATATGTCAAAAGAAAGATAAGTGAATTGCTTAATTTTTACAGACCTTGTGAATTTTCATTACAACTTGAAATTATCATTCCCAGACACGGCCAAATTCAGACCTTAATGTAGGCATTACAAATACAACAATTCAGACCAACTCGAGCAATATATCTATGCATAAGGTCCTTACACTATCAAAGCCATCATGACTATCAAGTGACATTCTTCTTATAGTTGTGAGCCATAGCAGAAAATAGGGGACCTGCCAAATGAAAAAGATCATAAACTCTTTGACTGAATATGTACACACATGCTAAATGAAATTTTAATTAATTGACATGTTTGTATACAAATTGCTACTTTATTTTAATTAACATGTGTGCATACAAATTGTAAATACATCAATTGACACGCACACAAATATGATTTGGCACACACACAAATATTAAAAAATATCATTGCATATGTCTAACACTTAAGTAAGAAGAAAATCATGTGGTAAAATATTTCAGGAAACTGCAGCTTTAACAGTTTACACCCAACAAACAAGATCCAATCAGAAACAATATACAGTTTGACTTAAATTTATACAGTGTTTCTAGCGTGCTTGATAAAAGGAGGACATGTGAAAGTAAACGGTTAAAAGAATTATTGCAACTAAAAAAGAATGGAAGGATATGATGTAACTAGATCTCTTCAACTCGGTATATAATATACCAGCTATATAATGATGCTATATGCAGTGGAGACTAGAGAATACGGATAGAATTTGCCTATCCTTTGGACCGACTTCAGCTTGATTAAAGCATACACTCCACATGATTTTGCTTTCCATTATAACCATTTGCATTTAATTAGGTAGTTCTTAAATGCATTAATGAATCATCGCAACACATGGGTTATTTTCCCAACTAGAGCTACTTTGCATAATATCATACCCCAACCGTGAAAAAAAATAAATTGCAAACTAATCATGCATTGAAGGTTAAAACATGTTTCTCATCCTTACTGCATTTGTTTATTTCATTTTGAGAGGGTAAAACATAAGGTGTATCACACACCCTGACAATTTGAACAGATTTAGTTAATCAGAAAAATAATGGCATCGCTAATATCTCCTTACAGCAATATAGCAACTACAATTGCAAGGTATTTTAAGTTCACAATATTTGATAATTTGAGTAAGTGCGTTGCAGTAGAAACAACAGTTTCAAAGTTTTTGCTTTTAAGGTAGTTTTCATAGCATTTTCTGTTTTTTAGTTGCTGAAGTAAACAAATAAACACATACAACAACAACATCCAAGCCTTATTCCCAAAAGATTTTGGGGTCGCCTAACATGAATCGATCCAAGATATCATATTTCGATTCATGTCATGTGATGTGACTAAGTGATATTCACACGCCTACCACACCACCCTCCTCTTTATCCTGGCTTGGGACAAGCATGACACCAAAATGATCCTATGGCGGAGTTTGAATAAATAAACACATATACACACAAAATGAAAAATACATTAGAAACTAAATCAACTACTACGTATGTCTTAAGAGAGTGAGTGCAATATTCTATTATGTTAGGCATACAATAGTTAAGAAAAATCTTACCTGGATAATAGCTGCAATGAACCATACAAATGAAGGGCATCCAGCTGTTCGTTTCTCTCGCATGAAGAATTTTAATTGGTCTTTGAAACTCCTCCTTAACTTGTTCGGTGGAATTGGAGGGGGCACTTGAGGAGAGGGAAAAAACATGTTAAACCCATGCGTTACTTTCATATCTTTACAATAATGTTAAAAGAGACCTTAAACATAGTCGATAGGTGAAGAAACGTTAACAAGTAATCCCTCCCATTTTATAGGCCCAACTGGTTTTTTGACATTTATTAAGAAAAAATGATATGTGGTTGATTTTCCTGTTTTATTTTTAAAAAAGGTGGGTACTGGGTAGCTTTTGTAAAAAGTTGTGACAATGGGTTTGTATGGTAAACCAATAAAGGGCATGTTGAGCAGGGGGGGATTAGGGGACTCGAAAAAAGAAAGTGGGCATAGTTGTGGGACAATCAAGAAAATAAAGTGGGACTTAACATGGGACTAAGAGATTAATAGTTAAAAATTGCAAGCTTTTCAACCACAGTGGCATTTCTTGTCTTCCCCTGAGCAAGATCAAACAATGTGTTCTAAATAATTAATAATAATATAAATACAAAGCCTCACGTTTTGGTAATATCTCTCCAATTGTTCGTATCTTGTGTATTAGCAGTATTATAAATGGAAATATTGTAAGTCGCATTGTCAATGTCCCGGAAGCGATAATAATCCACCTACAAAACTAAAGGATTGCTATTAGATAATTACAATTTCGAAGTGGCTAAGATAAAGTACTAAACCAGAGAAAATACTGAAAAACTGAGTACAACTTGAATCGCGAGGAAGTGATGGAAACACAAAAGTCGAAACTTGATAACAAAATAACAAGTGCAAAACTGAAAAGACCATAATTCAAGAATTGGCCATCTTTCCACTCACCATGGGAACCCGGTGATATTGTGGTAGCCGTCCAGCAACGAAATTAAACCACCAATTGGAAGAAACGTGTCTTCAAAACTACTGGTATCAAGTGCGCCGCCGCCAATAAACATATCAGACCCCTTAAAGGGTTGGGGAGCCGGAAAAATTCCATCTTTCAGCGGACAGTCTGCGACTGAGGAGGGCTCGCGAGTTGAGAACGAACGAGTGAAGGAATTAAATCGGAACGGCGCTACAAACTGCTTATCGGTGGCAAAAGAAGATGGCAGCACCGATGGGTGGTGAGAACGGTACAGCTTTCGCCGATGATCGGAACTAAAAGATTGAGTGAAGGAGTACGAAAAGTCATATGAGGCTGGAAAGCGGGCGAAAAATTGCCGTCGAAGGAGTATCCGCATTGCCATTTCTGAAAAAACAGTTTCTTCAAGTTGTCACAAGGATCGAGATGTTTTTATTTGGATAGTTTTTCATTTATACAGTTATAAAATACAACATCATGATATCGTACATTTACTAACCAAAATTAATACTCGTTGAAAAAAACGGTCGATAGTTAGTTAATTAAACGAGATTTCGTTGAAAAAAACGGTTTATTTCTACGAGAGTAGTTAGTTAAATATGTTACGGGAATTAAACGAGATTTAATATGTACGTGTTTTATTTGTTATAATTAATAAAAAACGGTCAAAATTCGTTGAAAAAAACGTTGACTTTTAAAAAATGTAAAAATACGTATACGTGTATAATACGGTACCTGTTACAAAATTCCGGACAAAAAATATGATGTATTATTTTGAACATTTAAATTATATACTTCACAAAATAACATATACTCCGTATAGTAAAAAGAAATAAAACTATACATGTATTCAAGTAGCATATCTCAATACTACATAAAAGAATAATTCATAATTGCATAAGTCGATGACAAAAATAAAAATAGTAATTAAGTCCAAGACATAATTTTGCAAACTAATATCAACAAATAAGACATATAACAATAGAATGAGACTAAGTTAAAATCATTATCTTTATATGTTCATTAAATAAAACTCAATTTAAACTCATCATTTTCAAGATGAAGGATTACATATTAGAAAAGTTGTGCGGCTGCTACGCGCCTTTATTATTGTTTATGTATAAAAGTTTATACTAAAAAATATGAGATTTAGATAAACTTTAATTTTGATATGCTCGTTTGGAAAAACATTAGGAATCTAGATTTTATGTTTAATCTTTTAGTATGCTAGTTCTAGCCGCCATGCACTTAATGTTAGTATTTCATAATTGTAATGTAATCATACAAACACATGGAGACACAGTGAGGAGCTTTTCTTTTATACTTTTAAACTATTGTTGATCTCCTATGCATTTAATGCGTTCATTCAGTTGATCAATTCATGTTTCTATTTTTGTAAAATACGAGAAAAATATGTTTTATACGGGAAGTAAGAGTTTTTTTCCTTTTAAAATGGACCGTCATTATTTTTATTTTTAAACGTGTTTTTTTGTTCAAAAAACGGTACGTGTTTAAAAAACGCAAAAAAATTAACTAGGACCAAATCAAAAAAGTTAACTAGGACCAAACCAAATAAAAACATTTTTTGTCTAACAGTTTGTTTGGGTGAGGGCCACGAGTCATGCACAGATGCATATGAGTTTAGGTTAGATTTTATCAGTTTTTTAGTCATGAGGTAGATGGGTGAGGTAATAGATTAAACACCTTCCTCCTTCGGTTATACCTATAGACAAGAAAACGTATTGCATCTGGATTTTTTAGTGGACAAAAACCTTCCTCACCGTGAAAAATTAGTTATAGTAACTTTAGTCACATTTTTCTTCATAAGTTTTATTTAGTACGTACTACCTATGTCCCCCTATTATTATGTCATTGCTGTTTTCGATGTTTGAATGACGATAAAACAAACAGATTTCTGTTCGCACTCAAATTATTTTTAGAAAAAAAATGCATATTCAGAAACTAAATTAAAAGCTTTACAAAGTCGCAAAAACCAGAATCGAATTTGATAAAAATTTGATATATAAAGTAAAAGATTAATCAAGGGTTATTTATTTTGACAAGTGAATAGGAATTGGGACAATAGTAGGGAAACGGAGGGAGTAATTTTTTAAAAACACTATATATTTATATTTATACATCTTAGACAAAATATTAATTGTTGGTGATTTTAGAAACTAATATTTTTGTTATTATTTTTTATTTGAATTTTGATCAATTTCATTTGATAATAGGTTTTAAAATATAAAAGGACAATGAGACGATTTCACGTTCGGGCTTTAACCAGCCCAACCGAACCCAGATCGAACCCGAGCCACCAAAAATCCGACTCGGATCGAATATAATGGGCTCTATTTCGGTCCCTAATCTTCATAACTCGAGACCATACAGGTAATTTTCGGGTATAGTAAAAACACGACCAAAATCGGACCGATCTCACCCCTACCCAGATGGTTATTCACAAAAGGATCCAGAACTTACACGTGTGACTTGCATGTGAGTTCGAGTACAAAGGGAATCAAATCAATTAGGCGCCGTACCAATCAGTCAGTTGTCCACATTCTCTTACCGATCAATCTTTACACGCGTCACTGTATTATTAGAATATCATCTTTTTACTTGGTGTCCAAGTATTTTCTTTACAAGATAAATATCAGCTTCCAACTTGTGAAAAGAGATCGTCATTCTTGCGCTCTAGCTTACTGTTACTCTGCCAAATTTTTTATTCAATCTACACTTAGCACTTTTCATTCTCTCCTCTCTGGATCACCAAATGCATAACTCAGTTTCACATAATACAATCCAATGGTCCAGATTCATTCTCATTTCTCTCACATGAGTCCTTTCTCACTGGAACCGCTCCATGTGTATGTGTGTATAATTTTGTTCAAATGTGAGAATGGTCTAAGGAAAGAAATAAGAATGATTTTGGAACGTTAGATTTGAGTACCGTGCATTGTATGAATAAAAAATGTGCACTATAATAAATAGAAAATTTGCATTAGTTTAATCATAAACATGTACATTTCAATTTTGTATTATTTTAGTTATAAATGCTCGTCTTCTTGAACTATAATTTGCGTCATTTTGGAGTGTTCTCATTTCTCACGTTAATGAGTGATCTCGCCGCATGGGTAGCCTAAGAGACTCTAACTCGGTCAATTAGAGTTAGGCCAAAACACTATACAATAATTTATTAAAGAAATACCTAACGCATAGATTTAATTATATCTAATCTAAAATCTTATAAAGCATGTTGGGGGCTTTATGGGTATAAAAAATGTTGGTGGAATCTAGCTTAAAGCATTAAATAGTGGTACTTTACCTTTTACATGATGTACTCTCTTCCTATTATAACGTAATCTCCTATCACTCCGTTAAATATTTAAAGTTGCATCACACGGTGTTCTTTGTTTTGCCGTTAGTTAGCTAGCTAACCTTAGCATCATTCCGCGCACATCTTTTATAATAATTCTCAATATCATGAATGTTCCATTTTTGGAGATCTGCCCATCAATACAGATCATGATCAAGGAGCTACATGCCCTATCTAATTGCCTCTCCATAAGCAACTTAGGTTACTGAAAAGCGCAGGCAGTATGCTTTGCGTAAAGGTTTTGGAACGTACGTAGTAGGAAAATAATCCCTTGGTATTATTTGATATCCCTCATACATGATAATATATACAATTGACTCTACATCCAAAAGGTAACTGATACTCCTAGAATTGCTCTTAACCAAAATTAATATGATACAAATAAGGAAATGAAATATATACATTTAGTGCACGTATATGGTAGAATATATTTTATACTCTTACACCCCCCTCAAGTTGGAGCGGTCGGAAGAAGAATGCCCAACTTGGACAGAAGAAAATGGAACTACTGCGTACCAAGAGCTTTAGTAAAAATGTCTGCAAGTTGGGAAGAGGAATTGACATGGCGAGTAGAGATAACTCCATCGTGAATGAGGTCACGAATAAAATGACAATCAATCTCGATGTGTTTTGTGCGTTCATGAAAAACTAGATTAGAGGCAATATGAAGTGCAGCTTGGTTGTCACAAAAAACAGTCATTGGACGAGCATGGGAGATACCAAGTGATCGGAGAAGGCTTTTAAGCCAAATTAGTTCACACCCTACATTAGCCATGGACCGATATTCAGCCTCTGCCGAGGAGCGTGAAACAGTGGGTTGCTTCTTAGTTTTCCAGGAAATTGGAGAACCCCCCAAATGAACAATGTAACCAGTGAGTGAGCGGCGACTAATGGGGTAAGCCGCCCAATCGGCATCACAATAGGCCTGAAGATGTCAGAATTGGCTCGAAGTAAGATTCCTTGCCCAGGGTGACCCTTAAGGTAACGTAAAACACGAATGACAGCATCCCAGTGGTCCAACCGAGGGTTTTGCATGAATTGAGACAAAATATGAACACAATAGCTCAACTCAGGACGAGTTAAAGTCAAGTATATCAATTTCCCAATCACCCGCCTATAGCGCTCCCGCTCCGGATTAGGGAAAAGAGGGCTCGTAGAAACCGCTAACTTATGATTCTGTTCCATGGGAAAATTTGCAGGCCGACTACCAGACAACCCATTTTCATGAAGAAGATCCAAAGTGTACTTCCGTTGGCACAAGAATATGCCAGTAGGACTCCGAGCAACTTCAAGCCCCAAAAAATATTTAAGCTTGCCGAAATCCTTGTGAGGAAAACACCTAGCAAGATACCACTTTATAGTGGAAATGAGAGAGGGATTATTACCAGCAACAACCAAATCGTCAACATAAACAAGGATGCAAATAAAATCATTTCCTTTTTGCAAGGTGAACAAAGAATAATCAGCATAAGATCTGATGAATCCATAAGATAAGAGAGCGGTAATGAGACGTGAGAACCAGCACCGAGGAGCTTGACGAAGCCCATATAAGGAGCGATGCAAACGACAAACTTGATTTGGACGTGCTGAAGAAAAGCCAGGCGGCGGGTACATGTAAACTTCTTCATCTAACTGGCCATGTAAAAAAGAGTTGTCCACATCCATTTGATGTAGTTCCCAATTTTTGGAAGCCGTAACAGCTAGAAGTGTACGCACAGTTGTCATTTTAGCAACTGGTGCAAAGGTCTCATGATAGTCAATACCCTCCACATGTCGATTACCGCACACAACAAGACGGGCTTTAAAACGTTCAATAGTGCCGTCACTATTATATTTAATTTTATACACCCATTTAGAGTGGATAGGTTTCTTGTGTGTGGGTAAGCTGACCATAGTCCACGTGCCATTTCTCTCCAAAGCATCTATCTCACGTCGCATGGCAAGACGCCATCGTGGATCGCGAACAGCAACTTGATAAGAGAGAGGTTCCTGGTCATGTGAAATAGCTGCAAGAAAAGCGTGGTGGTGTACCGGAAAATCGTTATAATTCA